GCAAAACTGGTCATTGATTAAGGAAATCTCTTACAGAGTGCTCTGCCATCTTTCTGTGTGACTTCAGATCAGTTCAGCAGCCYTTTCTTTCGCTGGGTTGTGTCTATWTACAAAGGGTTATGTTACTCTTTGGACCAGATTCCYTCTCTTTCTATACCTGTGCTGACTGATTTCGCYGGGGTTACTTCTGGTCAGCACAGATGTAAGGTGAGAAGCAAGGTTTCTGTTTACATTGTCAAAAACATTAGATTTATTTTTAAATTTCAGCATTCAGCCTGTATGTAAATGCAGACCAGTACTTTCTTAACATGCAAGGTAAGAAGCAAAATTTAAGATGATGAGCTCTTTGGAATCTAAGACTATGAGCAGGTCAAAGATTAACCTACTAAMAGGTGCTTCCATCCTCTCTGGAAATTAGTCTTTTCCCTTTACAGTGCTAGGTTTTACGTGCTTATGAATTTTGGATATGCAGAGGGGCTCCTGGATGTCAGTGAGAATGTCAGTAATGTTGTTTCACACTTCAGCTCTGTCCTACAAGGAAAGGCCATTGCAGTCCKCAGTGTTCCTCCTCTGGATATGCTAATGCACTGTGAAAGTGCACATCATGCCTGGATGGGCCCTGCTGATAAAATACTGCCTGGAGATCTCGCAAAGTGCTAATGTGTCAAAGCGCCYGCGAGCACAGGGTGAATAATACTGCTTTGTAAAGGTCATGTCTGCTGAAGTTAGCGACTGCATCCTTCTCGCGTGGGGCTGGAGTCCACTCTCAAAAGTTCTGTTGCTCTTTGCAATCTCAAAATCCACAGTTTAGTGGGTAAAATCAGTAGGGTTGATAAAGTGTCTTAAATTAGACAGTTGGAAAGAAAAGCAAACATTGAAAGCTTTATAACCTTGCAGCTGGCTCTTKGAGTTAGGATGGCTGTGTGATTTCAGGCCTTGCCTACTGCGGTTTTCCCCGAAGTGTGTTACCTGTTCTGGGAACTGCCTTATTCTCATTTCCAGTCTTCCTGTGTTTCTTTACCTTCTAATAAGAAAAGCTCTTTCACTTCTTGCAATGAATCCTTGTAGTTATATACCACCATTTGCCATAAAACAAAGTTRGTAATTATTCTCACTAGTGGATGAACATGTTTAAAAAAACAAGCAAAACACCAGAAAACCCAACTATCCTCTAATTTTTTTTTTTTTGATATTATGTTTTACAGTAACATTTGACTCTCTCCTCCTGTTTAAAGCCTTGTGCCTTTTTTTCCCTCTTAGGCTTTTAATATTTAATATCGTTGATAAAGTATTGTGAGCGTGGTGTATAATTTTTGTACGTAAAATGAAATGATAAAATAGGTGCAAAAAGTAAAGTAAAGTATAATTTCAAGGAGCTTACCTATCATAATGCTCGTGCAATTTAATTTGGGACCTTGTTATTCTTAAACACTACCCATAAAACATGTATTTGTAAAAATTGCATGTGTTAATATCTCTAAAAAAAAMCTTCAAATAACTTTGAATTGTAATGTAATGTATCAGACTTGTCAGCTATTTCTAGTGTCTTGCAAGACATTTATATTCATAGAKAACCTCTCATCCTGGACTTAATTGTTTATATAAGTATGTGTCCATCATGCAGACTTTGTCATTTCAGATTTAAATCTATGAGTTCTAGATGATCTGGCATTTTTTCCTACAGTAAGGAAGAGACATTTTCTGATTGATGAGGAAAAGGTTTATCTCATCACTATAGTTTGGGACTGCAGGCTGAAGCGAAGCTCTGCGAAGAGGAAATGYGCTTCCTCCTTTTGTTTCCTACTTTGTTTCTTCACAAATAACTGTTCCTTCACCCCACTTRGTTAGTTTAGAAGTTCTGGTTCACCGGGAATGGTCTGTTCTGCAAATGTTTGCTTAAAAAGGAAAAGCATTTTGAGCCTGTCTTTATGAGTATGTTTAAGTAATGTTCGTTCTTCTGTTTGACCAGTGTTTTCATTGCTAGGCATTCAAAGGATGGATGAGAGTTCATCTTTCAGGAAAATRCTTCACTGGTTGTTTCTATGTACCACGGTTGTTGCTTATTTAAGTTAGGCAARCCACTATCCAGGGTCACAGTGTTTTGTTTGGCTTTGATTTTTCCATTCCTGATGTCTGTTGAAGATTAGTAGGCTGGATAATTCCAAGTTTGGTATCTTACCTTTGCATTGTCTGTTTCTCTTTGAGACTCTGGTTGTGGTCACTGCTGCTGTTTCACTGTTGAAAGCAAGTTTTTATTCTCAAACACGCACAAGGAAGGCGCTGGATGATTTAGGTACCGTGCAAACTGCAAGGTACCTGGCTTCCTATTGGGTAGTCCTTCTTCGTGTGTGCAGATAAAGTTTAGGGATCTCCCTTCATGGAAGAGAATTGTTAAAGTTGGRAAGGATCTCTAAGATCATCTCATTCAACCATTAACCCAGCACTGACAAGTCCACCRCTAAACCACATCCCTAAGCACCACATCTGCGTGTTTTTTGGCGACTTMCAGGGATGGTGATTCAACCACTTCCCTGGAGAGCCTGTTCCAGCTCCTGAACACCCTTCCCGTGAAGGAATTTTTCCTAATATCCARTCTAAACCTCTTCTGGTGCACCTGCTTAACCTTGCAGCACAGTTCTGTCAGGTCTGTGCCTTACAAGGTTATTCTGTGATATTTGTCTGGCTTCAGCTGCCAAATGCTGTTTCCAATSCACTTGGGTGCTTGTTTAGCATTTGTGTTCTGTCTTTGAAGTCTTCTGTTTTTAGAAAACCTTGTGGAAGAGCCACCAGCATTTCCAGTGCTCCTGTTTTTCACTGCTCTGAAATATGTGTTCTCTGGCATTTGTGGGGAGCAGTGCTGGGTCATGGATGGCTTGGGCCTCATCCAGCCTAAACCCTCCTGAACAGCCAAGACTGAAGGCAAGGGAAAGGCTTGATTTTGTCAGCTTTTATAATTTTCTTTTTTGTGAAAGAATACAACTTAGAAATCAAATAGAAACAAACCCCCTCTTTCTCCTAGGACTTGATGTCTCATTGAGTGCACTGAGGCATAAAGACAGATAATTCACGTTACTCATTGCTTGGTACACCAAGAATGGTGTATCAAACATGACTGTGTTTGACCATAGCATTTAATCACATGACAATTTGTTAAACATGCCATTTTAAAAGGTTTACAAATTTAGAAAAGCAGCAAAATAAAACCTGACATTGGTTTATAGTAAAAGTAAATGAAGTATCTTCCTAACAGTATCTGATGTGGCTAGGTATAATTTTTCTTTTTTTTTGAAATTCTTGTTAAATGCTTCATTGGAAAACTCAATAAACCATGCCACTTCATTTCACTTGCTCAGTGTTTGAAGAATGCTGTCCAATGGGAATAAATTTGATTTAAAACCCCAAAACTTACAAAAGTAGTACAGACTTGATAACAGTCAGGACAAAGATCCTGAAAATGGTTTGAATTTACAGAAGTAAATTGCAAATGAAATCTAAAGTCSTGTGGGTATACATGATGGGTGTGTACGTGACTAGATAGCAAGTCCAAAAAAGAGTATTTGGGTTTACTGAAAGTAAGACATTTGTGCCTAGCATAGGCCACTTGGTCAGCTTGAAGGTAGTCCAGGAAAACTCTACACCTGCAGTAATTGACCTATCCAGGCTCTTAGTTGGTCTCCAACACTATTGAGCTGTTTGATTCTTTACCTACATGTGGGTTGTTTCATTTCCCTTGCATTTCAGCAGCTTCCTCTTTTCATCCCAGTGTTTTTGTAACTCAGTAAAGATTATGTGTACACCTGGTAAATTTTCTTCCCTCTTCCCTAAGCATTAGGGTTGGGAGTTACTAGGGAAATGTGGTACATCTCTGTTTGCTTTTGTTAAACAAAAGCCAAGCTCAGGATTAACTTATCCAGACATTTTCCTGAGTTAGCCACAAAAAAAAAATCTTCAGTAATTTTCTTCTAGCAGGGCAGTTGGATTGCCAGGAGGTCAGATAATAATGTGCCACTTTATATTCAGGTTTATAGTCATGCACAAGTAACACAGGAATGATTTTTTAATGACTGGGCAAGCAATTGACAATTACAATTGATGCTTTGTTGTATTGAAGGCTTGTTAATTATCAGTTATACACCTYTCAAATGAGACACCATGCTAATTGATAGCCACCTTTTGTTTATAATGATTAATAATATATAAAAAGAATTGTCTGCAGTGGATATAGAAAGAGACGATCTATGTTAATTGATTATAAATAAAACCTTAATATGTGGTAAGTCTGACAGTGATCTCTAGAAATAAGTTCTAAAAGGTATTTTTGAATAATAATTTTTTCCTAAACATCACTGTTTGGGATTGACTGATGCTAAAGATGTTTAGCATTTTTACCTTCCCTTTACTGATCTTTGCAAATGCCTTTTCCACATTTTTCTCTCTGATTTGCATGGTAGACTTCTCCAGTAGTTTTTTGGGTGGAAAGTAGGGGTGACATTGAGTGGTGGTGGACAGAAAGATAGGATTAAAATGTAGTTTTGAGGAAATACTTATTTATAGACTGAACATTATATTGAGTCATATGTTAAGCTGCTGCACCTACTTTTCCCATGCTTTTCTTCCTGGGTGGCTCTGCTGGAGGCCAGGATAACCTCCCTGTCCACCCTTCACCACTGGCCTCGGRGCTATCACTCACACCTAGAGGTTTAAATGTGTCCTGCCTATGGAAGGTTGTATTTGTCCTCTCACAGCTTTTTTTCAAGCTTTCTTGGGTGTGGGGAAAATTCTGGTAACATGTAGGCAGTAGGAGGCGATGGATTTATGAAATGTCTCACTCAAAATTAGCAGGACGAGTTTGATGATGCTGCTTAAGGTCAGAAAGGAAATTTCCTGGGTTACAGAGGCATGGATTCTTTCAATTGAAAGGAGTTCATACCTCAACAGAGAACATTAAGGACTAGATTTTTTTAATCAAAGAAATAAAAAAACCTAAAATTTTTTGACAGGTGTCCCTTGTGTCTCCAGCAYAATGTGTTTCCATGCCTTCTCTTCTGTACCTGTGATGGAGGAGTGAGTTGATGTTCATCTGCCCGCTGTTTCAAGATGTGCATTGTGAGTAAGGAAGGTCAAGGAGAAAAATGTGCCCCTTTTTGTCAATTTTCAGTGCTGTTTTGGTGCTGCTTGACTCGGAGATCTCTGTAACGGTRATGCACTTCTATGTTAAAGAGGAATGTCCTCATATCTCCTTTGAATGGAAGGGTTGTTGTACKTGATTTGTTTGCTGTAGTTGTAAGCTCTCTGGAGTAATGACCTTTCTTATGTGGTTTGTAAAGTGCTGTGTTTACTCTTGGTGTCCTGCAAATTGCTGTAAAAAATAATACAGGGACTAATGTAGCAGCAATCACCTCATACTCCTTTTCTATGTCCAATGTAATAGAATTATGCAGTTATGACAGAAGAAGACACTGAGATAATGTAGTCTAAATGCTGTTACTTCCAAGGAATTAGAAGCCATATGCCCAACATTTAAAGTAAAATCTTTTTAATTCTGTGAAGAGGGATATGTAAAGCTAGGTTTGAAAAATACTGCTTTTATATAGGTATTAACTTAATTTTGACGATGTTTAAAATATTTAGTTAACGAATTGGTAGAAGCCAGTWATGTTTCAGCACATGCTCTTTGAAGCTCTGTCATAGTTAGTTTGCTTCAGGTATTTATGAACATAGGAACCAAATTAAGATTGATTGCAATTAAATATAAAATAAAGAATCTTAAAATTTGATCCAAGTTTAGTCACGTTTAAAAAAAAATGACAATAATGGCAATTTTTCTCATTTTGAAAGTTAGTGGTTTCTGCAGTGTTTTCAGTAGTATTTAGTGTTTGTTTAAATACTTCAAATTGCAGACTCAGTGCATTGTGATACGTTAAGTTTTCACTGGAAAGGTGGGATGTGTGCAGTCCTGCTTATCAGAGAAGAGCTGGAAAATGCTTCTGAGGCACACTGATTAATTTTACTTTGTTTTTTTTTAAGTGTCACAATTTTGGGAATTGCAACCTGTGACTTTTAAAGGATGGAGTTTTGTGATCCACGGGAGGTACCATGTATTGAACAGAGACTGATATTGAATGGCTGCTGCTGTTCTGTAGTWACGAATCCCCTTATGAATGGCTGTGGAAAGTTTAAAGGTTATTATCTYGTGTTTGTTTACTTTGTAAAGATAAGATTTCAGAGAAAATCGAAGGGCACTGTCTGAAATTCCCAGTCACGGCAGTTCCATGGAGAGCATCGATCCCTTCCTAGAGGTTGCCGGGGACTCATTGTCTCCCTGTTCATTATAGGCTGCTGCTGAAATCTCCAATATTTCAGGTTTGCGATTCTTTTATTGTTGTTTTGGCAGTTTGTCAAAATTAAATGGCTTAACCAAATCAATACGCTGTCTTGCTCAGTAACATCTGCATTTCACATGTCAAGATATTTTGCATTTTGAATGCAGTCACAATGGAACGAGCCACAGTGATTGCAAAAAGAGCCTTTTGGCCCCAAAAGCCTTCAGACTGTAAGGAAACTTTCTGGATAATAAACTTTGCTCAGTTATGCAAACACAGCTTCCACTGAGTGGTGATAATTGCACACGTGTGCCTGTGGGTAGGAGTCTGTTGGTAAAGAATAGATGCAGCAAGGTCAGAGACAGAATATAAGCTACAATGGTAATGAATTTGACTTGATTTAGAGCAACTGTTTGTGTATTTATTTGTGTGTTTTGGTGAGACAATTGATTGCATAGTAAGGAATAAATAAACAGCTTCTCTGTTGTGATGGCCTCTCCTTCCATGGGGTGACTAAGCTTTTCTCACCMATTTAAGCTGTGGTGATATGTGGCTTTAGATACATGTTTATCATTAGCTAAAATAACACAGCTGTTAAGGAAAGGTTTATTGCCATAGTTGTTCTGCATGCTAAGCACATTCTGTGTACATGTCAAACCAAATGCCAATTTAATCGGCCCCCTCAGAGTTTCCGAAGGAGTGATGATGAAAGTTTGGCAAGTTTACTTGCACCGTTCAGTATAAAATCTGCACGGCCATTATCTCCAGACACTTGCAATATGAAAAATGCCAATGGTGTTTTTACATACTTAGGAGACTAATAAGCTACAGATGTCAAAACTGTAAAGTTGAATTATCTTGAGCATGTATGAATATGGCAATACAGATTTTTTTTTAAATTCATGTGAAGTTATTCTTAAGCTGTGTTTTAGTACCCAGAGCTRTTTGTACCATTTCTGAATGACCACTGATTAAGTGAAATTATTGTCTGAATTGAGAACCCACGGTATAAGGAAAAATGCAAATTCCATATTAAGAGTAGGAGTCATTAATTTGTTCTCAAATTGTTTTGAGGAAGAATGTAAAGGCAAGTAAACAAAAGGAAAATGGCTTGGTTTAGACAATTCTCTCTCCTTTGTTGCCTGATAATAAACCCCAATAATGAACACAGCAGGTTGGCACATTCAAGTTGCCACATATATCATACAGTGACAAGYTGTCTGTCTGTCTGTCTGTCTWGCAGAATAGATGGAGTCCAGTGCAATTGGTCAGGATGATCCCCTATTTCTGTTTCTGCAGTCCGTTTACTTTTTGCTTAATTTAACTATCAGGTCTCTGCAGCCACACTCATATAGGAGCTATAGCTTCTCACAACATAAAACTTTGTTCTCTCCAGGTAACATCTAAAGTATTTAATAATACACTTTATAATTTTCCTTTTTACTTCACATCAGATGACAGTTYGAAGAGCTCAGGCTGAGAGAAAGGGAAATTCAGGCTAACATTTTTCACAGAGTCTATTTTGGGCATCRGCTCTGGGTGCCAAGCTTCAGAGGGAGGCTTTGACTTAAAGAGAAATCCTGTGCTCTTACCTTGTGCTCACTCAGGTTTGAACTACAGGATTCAGCACCTCTGTCAGGCTTTAAATCTTTCACATCGAGTACCCCAATTTAACTCTTTTTGATAAACTGACTTACATGGGCTGCCAGAGGTCAAATGAACCCACCCGGAATCAGGCAAGAAAAAGACTTGTCTGAATGCCCAGTTTTGTGCTTAACTTTCAAGACTGTCTTCTTGGGCCTCTCAGAAAATCTCCTCTTTAATGACAAGCCAGGAAATCTTTTAACCAGACCCGAACTAAACGTTTATGTCCCCCTTTTTAATGCTTTCCAGACTAACAGTAATTTTTAAATACCGTTTTTCATATATGGGTTTCTTAGATTTACTGCCTTTTTTTTGTCTCATTTTTTCAACCCAAGTTAGTATTTGAAAAATAAGGAGCAAAATATGGAGTACTTACAAAACACGGAGAATTTTGTAGCCGTGATTACATGATAATGCCAATGTATGTCTAATCAATTAAGTGTTTCTGTCATTAGTGAGGAATAACTCAGTCAGGATTACTGAGTTCACAGGACAGCTGATGTACTTCCATGATACACCCATGAAGTGGATGATGCTTTCATGAAGCCAAATAATGTTTCCCTTGCAAGGTGATGGAAAGCAGTGACTGATCAGCATGCTCAATTTTTATATATTTTTTTCTTTGTTAATCCCTGATCAGACAGTTGCTCAAGGAAGTTGCAATGCCAGCAAAACCCAGTTATGTTATTCTCAAGGGAAAGGCAGCTTATTGATATTTCAAATGTCAGTCCTCCAAGTGTATGAAACTAGTTTCCTCTGCATACAACATCTCTGCTCTCTATTAGGAATTAACTGTCTCCTCACCCATMCTGGAAATTATTGATGTCAACCTACCTAAGCACAACAGCCAAGTGTTGCAAAACCTTTAYCCAGCTTTGTTCTCCCATCCCTGCCCTAAGTGTTAATGGGATTTCTGTGATTATTGTAAAGATTTTCCATGAAAATGAACTAACACAACTTAGGCACAGTTGGAAATAGGTTAATTTGTTTTTAATTGCTAGATGCTTTTCCATTCACAGTGACTAAAGTATTTTCTCCTGATGAGTTACAACTGAAAATTGTTGGGGTCTGGGGGYAACTATTAAAACAAACAGAAAAARGAAAGGAAAAGAAAGGAAAAAATAATTAATTTCAGGTTACTGGATTTAGCAGAGTTGAGATGACAATGTCCTATTAAGGCCAAAGTATGAAACAAAACCTTGTTTAAGCAGCTGCAGGAAGCTTGCACTTCCCTGTAGTCTGTTTTAGTTTTAAAATCTTTGTACTTGTTTGCTGGCAGCTTTTTTCTTGTTGTAGTAGTGATAAGGAGACATGACCTGGGAAGTGAGGACATTATCGGCAAATAAATAGCAAGATTAAAAGAAAAAATGTTTTATACTTTAACTAATGGGTATGTTACTGTGTGTTGTATTGTAAACTTGAATTCTGACAGCAGGTAACAGTCAAGTACAATTTTGTTATTGTAGTCTGAAAATGTGGAATGTGGATGCTTTTAGTTACCTGGCTCTGTGCTGTTTGCTGCAGGAATAGAGAACTGATGTTTTAGCAGGGAGAAAAATAACGGGAGGGAAGGTAGAAAATCATTTTAGGTATTGCTGCATGTGGKAGCTTGAGTGTTTGAGGTCAGTGATATTCCAGCAGTTGGCTGCTTAGATACTGGCTGTGATGATTTTCTGCTCAAAACAGCTTCTCTTGAAATCCTTTATTTGCATCACCTGGAGGTATCCACAAGGTTTTTATGCAGAAATATTTACAGACATGAATGCTTTATGACTGCCTTTAAGAATGTCTTTCACAGCCAAGACGTATCATGCTTTTAGGCTCATGGTGTGATTTTTGGGGTTGYCCTGTGCAGGGCCAAGAAGTGGATCCAGAGATTTAGGTCCCTTTCCATCTCAGGCTGTTGTATGATACTGTAGTTCTGTAGGCGTATTTGCTTGTGGATATCATCATGTGCATGAGTTTCTGTGCTACTTTTACGTGGATACCAGTGATTTTCCCTTTTTGCCAATAGGAGTYTTGCAGAGTTACAGACAGCCAGTTRTTTATTGCCACRCAACACRTTCYTCYAAAAAAGACTTTGAGAAAGGTCTTCATCTGTGTGGGGAGGGGATAAAGCTCTCTTCTGTAGAACATGGC